AGTTCACATATTTCGTTCTTGAAAGATTGAATAGACATAATCAAGTCGGACATATCGCCTGTCGATTGTTGTGGTTCTGTATAGATTAGTTGTCCCGTACTCGACAATTGGCTTTGCCTTGTTCTTGGGCCTGGATTAGACTCCACATCGCTACATAATAACAATAGTACATTTGCAAATAAAAGCATACTCACATATTTCTGATTTTAAGTCCTGGCGATTTGAATTTCTTACAAGCTATTCTATGATGATACAATCCTATAATCATTCTCCAGTTTGCAATATCAGTTCCCATTTTTTCCACAATAGTCAATCTTTTCAAACAAATGATATTACTGAACATGATTTCATTCAAGAAGATGAAAACAGAAATTCATAGATATAATCAAACGTTGTCATCTTTCTTACTAATGTATTATTTGTATTTGTTAACATTTAACATTGGAATTTTGTGGTGAAGGCACCGTTAACCAAAACTGAGCTATAAATATCTGTGTATAAAATTTGAAGCCAATTAATGATATAGGATGGCAAGTGTAATTTTTGTGCCAAGTTAGTAGATAATTATGCTCAATGCGATCGAAAGCTTTTTCGTGGTCAAATCCGACAAGTGTCCCCTTTATCTGTTTTTGATACATGTACTTCAAAATGCAGTTGATGGACTGTAGGTTATCTAAAATGGCCTTGCCTCTGCCGGCCCCACTCTGAACGGGGAGAATGAGTCCATCCAGGACTTCGGGTAGCCGATTGGCGAGGACCTTGGTAATGATTTTATAGCCTGTGCAAAGTAATGATATTAGTCTGTAATTTTTCGATCTTCTTGTTTCGGGTCCCGACTTTCTTATTGCATGTAGAAATTTTGAGTATGCTAGTAAATCCTTGTAATCGGCAATACCAATATACCCGCCATTCATTAAATCTATTAATCCTGTCGTTAATGTAAATATTAAGTCTTTTGTATCGATTTTGAATATAGGGGAATTTGCCCTAAATTTAATTCTAAATCCATTAAACAATAACCCCTCATCATCAATGATTGGTGTAATACTCTTTGGTAAATCTGTTTTAGGGTTTGAAAAAAGACTGTTAATATCATCTACTGTCCTTATTATAATACCACCATAAGGATTCGGTTCTGGGTGATGAAGTTCTATTGGAGATGGAGGTTCTATAGGGGGGAAGAGTCTCTTTTTAATATCCTCTTGAGATTTTAATATGGGTTGAAATAGAGTAGATTTTCCGTTAATCCGAGTTGTTGTAATCTATTATTTTCAACTTGGGTCTTTATTTTATTCTTAGCTTTGATATATTCTTTATTTCTTTTTAAAATATTATTCCAATCGCTACTCATTTTTAAAAAAAATAAAATTAACATATGTCGATCATAACTCTTTCACCCGCGGGTTTTCTAGTATTTACAAATACATATCCATGTTCATCTGGGTTTCTCCATTGAGCTTTACAAACTTTTTTGAATGTATCTGTCCATTCCGTGATTTATCGACTGAATGATTTGAGATACATCTTTATCGTTTAATTCGAATAATAAAAAACAATTTGCATTTTTTCTAATGAACATAGAATCCATCCCGTAAAAAGATTGGGATTGGTATATGCAGTGACAGTTGTGGTGTCTTCCTTTTGTGAAGAATTCTTGTTGAACAGCTTGATTTCTTTGCACAACGCAGTCGTCAAACAATATTAAGTTCTTTCGTTTGCTATCAATATTAGACAAGTCTAGATCATTAACATTTTTCGTAAGAAAAACTTTTATATCCGTTGGATTCTTTCCTTCGATGTAGTTATCTATGATATCTTTTATTTCCACTTCTTCTTCGTTTTCTTCGTAATATTTAAATAGGTCTTGAACATCTTTCTTTGGTAGATATTCTAAAGCTTTGAGGAATTGGTAATACGATTGCTCTGGTGTTGTTGTGTAGATATACAAAGAATCGAAATCTAAAAGGTTTGGTGTTGTCAACATGTTAAAAGTGAGATGAGTTTTCCCAGAACCGGAACTACCGCATATATACATGAGCATTGGGTTATTAGGAAATATTTCTGAATGATTAAATTTTTTACCCATTTTTTATTATTTTATTTTATTCCAAAAATCACTCCTTCTCCTTTATACTTTGAAAAAAATAATCCTTCTCCAGTGTGTATATTTTTAAAAAATATTCCATTACCCTTATGTTTGACTTTGATTTCTCCTGTGTCAATACTATCTACTAATTTATTTAATCCTTGTTTAACAGTTTTCTTGGTTTCTTCCCCAAATCTTTTTCCAAATTCTTTTATTGTACCTATCATATCTCCCTCTCCTGAACCTTTGGCTTCCTTTTCCATTATTAAATTATGTCTACGTTCTTTAGCGGCTTCAGCATCAGCTGCTTTCTTTGCGTTGGCAGCTTTGACTGCGGCAGATATTCCTCCAGTTGCTGCACCCGCCGCTGCAATACCACCAAATATTAAAGGAAGGAAAGGTAAAAATCCACCTTTTTTGTGGGACTTTGCTTCTGCAAAGTCCCAGTTTGTTATCATATTGTCAATTCTTTTTGACAACGCCCTGCATTGTTTTCTAACTGTTTATTTTTTTTTTCTTCATCCCGGGAGCTTAGTTCTGGGAAACGGCAACGGGTACGGCAAAACGGATTTCACCATGTTTTCTAACCTGTGAGAATTGTGGAATGAATGTAAAACGAAAATTTTCTGAGCAACATGAAGCGACGTTCGCAACAAACAGAAAATCGCCTCTAGAGGGCATGTTTATCAACCGATTTTGATGGGGTTTCTTTCATTGTATTTCTTGTAACAAAGGGCAAAAATAACATATGCATTATATTACCAGCCTTAATACAAACTTATTAAACTAAAAAAATCCGCACCGGATGTAACATGTTGGCCGCCATTTTGGTTTGCCTCATTTTGCAGAAATTGCTATTCAGAGGCCATTTTTCATCCGATTTACATCTTCATATTTACTGTGATGATAATTTGTGACCTTGTCTATCTGATGACCTTTTGACCTTTGGGGTCAGATACTTATTTCCGATTTTACAGGGGTCTAAATATGGACCATTTTGAGCCTTTAAAGTGCTCTATCTCGGTCCCTAATAGAGATATGGCAATAATTCTTTCGATTTTGTAGTGTAGAGATTCTCAGCTTTCCATAGATATATAACATGCATACCTTACATGCAAATTCAAAACTCCATTCACTTAACATGGGGTTATTATTAGATAAATCGGCTAATAGACCTTTTCACGATAAAAGCCGCGCATGCGCATAACTACCCTTGAGTGGCAAGCCGTCTGTTTACATTCGATACAAGATGGCGTCCATCGATAAATTGAGAAAATTGAAACTAACTGATTTGAGAGTTCTTGCAATCGAGAAAGGGATAGATGCCAATGGTAAAAAGAAACAGGAGTTGATAGAAGACTTGTTAAACAGCCAGGTTCCAACTTCGGTTTTGACACCCGTACATAACCAGTCAACGCCCGTTATCAATCCAACGCCAACCAAGTCTGCCACCAACGTCAACGATAAAGAGAACCTGCCTCCCTTTCATCGAGTCAAATATCTGCCGCAACTACCTTATGTAAAAGTTTTGTTTACGATGATTTACGACTTCCTGATAACGAGAGCAACAGAGTCAGGTGGAAGTGCTAATAATTTTAAAGGACTTGACAAGGCAGTCAAACATCATGATGCAGGAGACGTGAAAAACATTTCACATGCAAAGGTAAGTAATCGTCCAACTAATATATGACATCAATTGTTTATAGTAGTAGATCTAGATCTTCAAAGCATAATGCTATGTAAATTACTTCTGTTAATATTGTACACAGCTTTTTTGCATGACACCTAATATTTGTGTAGAGTAAAGAGCTCCCCCTCCCTACCTCACACACACACACACACAATTATTGTCTCATAATTACCTAGATCTACACATTGAGTCTAATATAACTTTATCAAATATTAGAGACAAGGAACAGAAACTTACTCTCATCCTTACAGCCCCTACAGTGTTTTATATTTTTAAAATGGGCCTACTAGATATTTTATTTAATCTCAGATTAAACAAGTCCATAACTTACCAAGGTTTGTTGAGAAAAATCAACACAAGAATTGTATTTTTCAGGTCAATGATACAACAATGTATGTGAGAGCTCTGTGTCAGGCATCCATGAAGAAGATGAACTACCAAGTTTTTATTTGTTTCTCAAAGGAAAATGAAGAGCAACATTCCATAGACTACGCTTATTGTCAGTGTCCAATTGGGTAAGTTTCATAGACACTACATAATACTTATGATGAGATGAACATTATAAATCAAAATATGTGCTAGAGTACCTGAAAATCTGATAGAACAGTGCTGCAGTATGACTGTAAATGTAGCTTCAAGCTTCACAAAACTAGTACCAGAATAACATTTTTCATACCTTATGTGTTTTTTGTTCTTTTGTAGGGCAGCACAAGCTTGTAGCCATATCGGAGCTCTGTTGTTTGCTTTGAAAGATCTATGTCCACAATCTGTAACAGGTGCATCATGTACATCTACCCTTTGTACCTGGAATGTTCCTCGAGGAGAAGCCAAACCCCTTCCAGTCAGTGCATTCAACCGGGGAAATGAAGACAGTAATTTTGACCCAAGGCATAGTTTGGACAGACAGAATGATATGGAAAAGACCTTAACTGCACTACAAGGTCTAAAAGAGATTTTCCCCAGAACAGGTAAATGATAATAATCAAACAAAAATAGAATTAATGTTTGCCACTCCTGTATTCTGCAAAAGAATTAATTTTTTATTCCATTAAAGAACTTATATGTGCAAAGTATATTTGAATTTTTAACAGTAGGCCTACAGTATTATATTAATAAAAATTTACTTCATTTATTTAGGAAATAAGACAATGTACTAAAACATGTGTAACTCTATCAATTATATTTTTTAAGGTATGTCACATTTGTGGAATATTCCTGATCCAGTGCCAGATATGTGTATGGAGGAAGAAGTTGAGACAAGCATTAATCCACTTT